TCACATGTCTTTTAAGGAATATGACCTCAGACCACACAGCAGTGTGGTTTACTCTTATTGACCACTGAAATGGCCTAGCAAGCCACTCAGTTGAAGGGCAATTAGGGATGGCCAATAAATTCTAGCCTTGCCCTATCTTAGCAAACTTGCCTTATTAACTACCCAGACAAGCCCCTCTCATCTGATTCTAGCCCTATCTTACTCTGCAGCATTCCCAGAAAAACATACCAATGCTGGGATATCTCAGAGTGAACTGGCAAGAACAGGTGCTGGTGCCATCTTTAAAAGGCCATTGTGCCTGTCAGGCTGGACAGATGCCCTGCATTGATATTTGCCCCATCTATTGGTACCCCACTTGGTGGGCAGTGACTTAGAGGCTCTGCTGGATGGGGTAGTGCGCAAGTGGAATGTCCTGTTCTCCCATGCCATCCAGCTCCAAGATTGTTACCTCAGCCATCTGGAGGAATGCACAGCAGTGTTGGTCAATCCTCTTCCCAACTATGCCAGCTTAAGGACCACCATCTTCTCTCCAATATCATAAACCCCATCTTTGTTACTGTACCCACCATGCACCATGCACCCACCAAGACTCTACCACTCTCACCATCGCCTACAAGATCATGTCTCACTCACTGTCACCCACCCCCAACCCCCAATCCCACGAACCCCACATGCCCTCTGCACTGCCTGCTCACTCACTCACTCATTCATTCCTCCCCACTACACCAATGATAAAAGTTGTTCCACTCGCTTTTGAGAATCAGGAGACCCTTAAACCTGTGTTAATTCAGCATTCAACATTTGGTATTTATATATCTGTGCCTTATTAGTAACTAGTCTTCTGGAAACGTAAACAAATCAATATGAAGATAGAGGAGAGGTCAGAAGAATCATCAAGATATTTACTCACATCAATGATTTATCAGGTGTTACCCCACTCCATTATCAAATCTAAAATAAGAAGGTTTTGGTTGAAAACAGAATGAAAACTAATGCTCAGAAGTTGATGGGCAAGGGAACAATGGTCATCCAACATCATGATTAGCAGTCCCATGGCCATTGCCAAGTTGGGTTAGGTTAGGCTCATTCCATACACACGCCATCCTTTGCGTGAAAAAGTTGCCCCTTAGGACACATGGGAGGCAGATCCAGGGAGACAATGCACACTGTCACCCTGGGGGATGACCAGGAGTTCTCCCCCACTTCAGGCAGAGGGAAGAACTAAGTTGATCGGTACCAAGATTACCAAAGACTACCAAAGACCACTATAAAGAGGCTTGGGCCCACTGGGACATGGGAGTGCACTGCCTCTATTCCTCCATTCTACAGAACAGCTCCAGGATCAGTAAAGTGTTTACATCTCACTGGTTGTCACAGAGTTATTGAGTCATAGAGTTATACAGCACAGAAACAGTCCCTTTGGTCTAACATGCCACCCAGATATCCTAACTGATCTATTCCCATTTGTCAGCATTTGGCCTATATCCCTTTAACCCCTTCCTTTCCATGTACCCATCCAGATGCATTTTAAATGTTGTCATTGTACCAGCCTCCACCACCTCCTCTGGCAGCTCATTCCATACACACACCACCCTCTGTGTGAAAATGTTGCCCCTTAGGTGCCTTTTAACTCTTACCTATCTCATCTTAAAGCTATGCCCTCTAGTTTTGGACTCCCCTAGCCTGGAGAAAAGACCTTGGCTTTATCCATGCTCATGATTTTATAAACATCTATAAAGGCCACCCCTCAGCCTCCGATGCTCCAGGGAAAACAGCCCCAGACTACTCAGCCTGTCCCTATAGCTCAAACCCTCCATCCCCAGCAACATCCTTGTAAGTCTTTTCTGAACCCTTTCAAGTTTCATAACATCCTTCCTATGGCAGGGAGACTAGAATTGCATGCAGTATTCCAGAAGAGGCCTAACCAATGTCCTGTACAGTTGAAACACGACTTCCCAACTCCGATACTCAATGTACTGACCAATAAAGCAAGCCATACTAAATATCTTTTTCACTATCCTGTCTACCTGCAACTCCGCTTTCAAGGAACTATGAACCTGCACCCAAGGTCTTTGTTCAACAACACTCCCCAGGACCCTACCACTATGTGTATAAGTCCTGCCCTTATTTGCCCTACCAAATTCAGCATTTTATCTAAACATTATCTAAAACTCCACATGCCACTCCTCTATTTCCTTTCTTCGTGTAATTAACTAATGTACCATATTAAAACTGCTGCCTCTCAATAAACGATCAGAAAATTGTTACAAGTTGTCATCGGCTGACATTAGGTAGCTGTGATCATGAACCTCCTAAAATTGACACCAATTTTATCTCCTTTAATATTTACCTCTCTCTCTTTCTCATCCCCGGGGGAGAACAGCCCACACTGGGACAGAGAGACTCAAGTCAATGGTGGGCTGCCTGACATTAGACTCCTTTTAAGGAGCATTTCCTGATTCTGACCACTCAGAGCTGACTGACTGTGTCCAAGCCCCTCAACTGGAGTTGGAGGTTACGCTGCACTTTCTGTGTCAGAATCCCCGAGGGAAGGCTATCCTGTTTGACTTGGCCGAGGCTAATGGCAAGCTTCCTAGCTTTGTGTTTGCACGGAACAGCACGGCAACGCAACAGTAAGACGAGCCTGGTATCTCTGGCTGAGGGGGCAAACTGCAAAATGGCAATACAAGGCAGTGATGCCAAGAGGATCCAGGTAGGCTCAGGGTGAGTGAGTGCTATCACAGTGAGCGCTATCACAGTGAGCAAAGAGACAGAGATCCAGCCTGGTACAGTCCATGAACTGGCAGTGTCTCTCTGTAGGCCCAGCGTTACACAGAGTTACTGAGGCAGCCCGAGGGCCAGCACTGAAGGACGGTAGGGTCCTGTGAGAGGTTTGGAGATCTGCCATGAGGGGTCTTAGAGGCTGGCACATATCAGATGCCAATATCCATAGGGTGCATATGATCAGCACTTGCGGAGCTTACTCTGAGATACTGGTGCCTGGCAACCAACATAAGGTCCATCAGAACCAGCGTCAAGCTGAAGTGGCCAGGTATCCGCTCGCACTTCCATGCCAAGAATTCTTGATGGTGAAATTGTTTGGCAAATTTGAGAAGATAGGAAGCTAAATATTAAAGAGATGAGATGAGCCATTATTAAGGCATTTAAGAAGCAATAACTACCTCTTAATTGGCCAGTCTCACCATGCCGTGTACACAGTTCTGGTCATCCTGCTATAAGAAGGATTTTATTCAATTGGAAAGGATGCAGAAAAGATTTACTAGGATGTTACTGAGATTGGAGGATTTGAGTTATAAGGAGAGGCTGGATAAACTGGGACTTCTTTCACTGGAGCGTAGGGGATTGAGGGGTGACCTTATATAGGCTTATAAAAGCATGAGGAACATAGACAAGGTAAATAGCACCCCTCAGGGAGGGGGAGTTCAAAACTACAGGGCATAATTTTAAAGGTGAGAGGAGAAAGATTTAAGAGGGACCCGAGGGGCAACATTTTCACACAGAGGGTGATGCATATATGGAATGATCTGCTAGAGGAAGTGGTAGATGCAGGCACAGTTGCAACATTTAAGAGACGTTTGGACCAGTACATGAGCAGGAAAGGTTTGGAGGGATACAAGCCAAATGCAAGCAAATGGTACTAATTTAGTGCAGGATATTTGGTTGGCATGGACAATTTGGACCAAAGGGTCTGTTTCTGTGCTGTATGACTCTATGCGTGACTCACAATGTTGAGATAGGCCTTCCTGGACTTCACACATGATTCAGTTATAAATCTCAACATAGCCAACATCATTCAGGTCCCTATAAGGTCTGCCCTATAAACCTGAGCCTGGTAATATCTGCGATTACTAAGTACAGCAGTTATCAGTCTGATAGTGTAACAAAGTACTACATTGAAGCCTAAGGCTAAAGACAATTCTTGACTTTCTCCTTGACCAGTCTATCGCAAACACAAAGTGTTTCATATGGCATCAAACCACACAGAGGGTGAGATCTCAGTTGTCTGTTTGCATCGCTGTGTTTGGGAATGTAATACCTAGCCATTCCCATTTGCTGATTTTGATGCAACAGCTGTCATTCTTTAAATACTATCTGCTCGCCTTTTATCATTCAGATCACGAGATTCTCTTCCTCAAACGTTGAACTCAGACATTTGAGAGTTCCAATCCACTTCAGCCACGCTCTCCAATGCAGCACTGAGAGTGCGCTGCACTGTCAGAGGAGCTGATTTTTTAATGAGATTGTTATCTTTAACTACATCTCACTCTGATGTAAAAGATCCCACAGCCACCATTGGGAATACAGCAGGACAGTCCTCCTCAGTGTCCTAGCAGATATCTATATCAGTGACACAGATAATGTGATTATCATCAAAATGCTGTTTTTGGGACTTTGCTGTGTATCAATTATCTGCCATATTTTCTACAGTACAATGGCGATTGCACTTCAAAAGGTGCTCCATTGTCTGTAAAGCAATTTACAATCTTGAAAATTATGAGTCCAAGTTTTTCTCCCATGTTCAGGATAGGCTATCACTATAGCATGCACATACATTGCTGCCCTGCACAACATTTTCTTGCAAGATCAGTGGTGTTAAAGAATCATAGAAACGCTACAGTGAATAAGGTGGCCATTCAACCCACCAAGACCACACCAACCCTCTGAACCGCACCCCACCCACAGCCAACCCCCAACCTTAGCCCTTAACCTCACATTTACCATGGCTAACGCACCTAGCCTACCCAAGACACTATGGACAATTTAGCATGGCCAAGCCAGCTAACCTACCCAGACACAGGGAGAATGTGAAGACTCCACACAGACAGACACAGTCACCCAAGGGGTGGAATCGAACCCGGGTCTGACCACTGCGCCACAGAAAGGGGAAAGGGTTAAACATTAGTATCAAAGTCCACAGCAAAGTCTGAGGCTCCAGATTGCAACCCATTACTTAATGGTAACAAGCTGCATTTTCTTACCAGCCACAGTCCACAAGCGTTGAAAACTCTCTGATATTTCAGGGTAGAACTGCAGCCTTTCTGTGATCAGACTTCCCGAGCTCTGTGTTCCCCTGACACTGTCACTCCTTGTATCCAGTTTGATGACAGTCTCCACCTGGTCTCACTCAGTGTGTCAGTTCTCTGTAACACCAGGGGTGCTCTTAAAAAACTGACCAACCCCTCTGCTTTCAAACTCTCGCTGTGTCAGGGGCTCTGTTGTAAATTGCCTGAATCCATCTCCCTCCCACTTCAGAATTTACACTGTCAGTGGCTCAGGCAGAACAGCAAAAAGCTTCAACTGGAAAACAAGAGACATCTGAAAATGTGGAAGGATGCACTCCGGCAGACAGCCCCATCTATAGGATAGGGAGACTCTAACTGTGAAAAAACTCAGAACCTGAACAGCTCTCTGCTTCTGAAAATGAGGGGAAGAGTGTCATTGGATATTTTAAAGACGGTAGTAAATTGGTTCTTGTTAGGTGAGGGAATCAAAGGTTCTCAGGGATAGATGAAAATGTGCAATTGAGACTACAAACAGATCATCCATGATCATGTTGAATAGCAGAGAGGGCTTGAAAGACCAAATAGCCTACTTCTGCTCCTAATGCAATATATTTGAATTAAATACAATATTCATACATTTATATTTCCACTGCCCTCTGTGTAGAAAAATACCTCGTGATCTAATGTCAAGGCTGTCCAGTCCACCAAGCTCTGGGACCTTCACTTTTGACATGACTCACAGAGAATACCATAATTTGTGAAGTCTGACATTGCCAAATTGCCATCTCTGCTTACTTCCACTCAATATGGTAACAGCCAATTAGGCTGGCAGCTGGCTCGATAAGATTTGTGGACAAGGAGTTGTGGAAATAGGGCTGGGGGAGTGGTAGGAAGAAGTGACTATTTGGGCAATTTCTCAGGCATTATTCGGCGTTTGACTGGTGGAGCTCAGAATCCAGTGTGGATGGAAATCCCAGCTGTGAGAAGATCAACTGAATTCAGAAGAGGCAGCCTGTGGGTTCTCAAATTCAGTGAACATCCCTCCACAACCCTTCAACCCTCTCTCCCACTTCCCTCCAAAACCCTCCCACTGTCCTATACAAGGCTGGAGAGAAAAGACAATGTCATATAATGCCAATGGCCTTCTCTTGGTCCAGGCTGATGAAGTATCCATTCCCGCAGATGTGCAATTGTATCCCAGGGTAGTGCAAGGCTCTAAGATCCTCCTGTCAGGTACAAGGCAGGTCTAGACTGAGTGGATCAGTGACTCCAGAGCAACTGTGAATCAATCAGTAATAACTTTGTGGACAATTCCAAAGTTGGCATTTAGCAATGTGACAGGGCTTGCCAATTCCTGCTTGCCTGCCCCTCCACCTTCTGTTTGTAGAAGAGTGTGATGACACCATTCCTCAAAAATTTGGACCTACTGCTGACAGGAGCATCCTCTCATCTTCTCCATCAGGTCTGGGCTTGTACGGTCTCAATTCAAATTGGTCAATAATACATCATTTCTGAGAGCGTTGTTAGAGGGCTTGGTGGTTTATTTGTACTTTTATCTGTTCATGTTTCTGCCCTGACTATTATTTCCAATTCCTCCTGATCACTTCAGAATGAGCCTTATCTTAACATTAAATCTCGGTTTGTAACTCACTTTCTCCCTCTTAAAGGTAACATCGAATTCAATCACGTTGTGATGATGGTTCATTGTAACTAAAATCCCTCATCCCTCATCCCTGAACCACTCTAACTGACTGTTAGATTACTAACTAATTCAGGCTCGTTACTTATCACTAAATCTCATATCGCTTGGTCTCTTACTTGTTGAAAAATAGAAAAAGCTGGAAGCAGACATTCGGTCTGCCCGTGTAGACAGTACAGTGAAGAAGTGTTTCAAAGCAGAGCTCTTATTGAGACCTGAAAGGAAAGAAAAGTTCCAGGTCATTATCATTTGCTGCTCAAGAAAGTTCTTCCTCACATGCTTCCTGCACCTTCTGCCCAAAACCTCATACGTGTGTCACTGGGCCTTGTACCATCATCCAATATTTTTCTTTATCTACCTTATCTAGACTTGTCATAATCCTCGTGCACCTCTATCAAATCTTCAGTCAATCCCCTTTGCTTTGTCTCCACTCGAACATTGTAACTAAAATCGCTCCTCCCTACAAATTTCTAGTAAATCTCCTCTGCACCATCTTTGAGAAAGGGGGAATGTACCTGTAACATCACTGGACTGGTCATTCAGAGCCCCAAGCTAATGCTTTAGCGACAAAAACAGAAATTGCTGGAAAAGCTCAGCAGGTCAGCAGAACTGAGGAAAGGTCACTGGAACCGAAACATTAACTCTGATTTCTCTCCACAGATGATGCCAGACCTTCTGAGCTTTTCAGGCAATTTCAGTTTTTGTATCCGATTTCCAGCATCCACAGTTCTTTTGGTTTTTATTTAGTGAGCCAGATTTTTTTAAACAATTGACAAATGTTACATGGTCACCATTAGACTGAATTTTTTTAAAATTTCCAAATCTGATTACATTCAAATTTCAGCATCTTCTAAAAAAGAGTTGTACCGGACTTGAAATGTTAACTCTGCTTTTCTCTCCACAAATACTGCCAGACCTACTGAGTTTCTGCAGCACTTTCCCTGTTTGTTCCCACATTTGTCATGGTAGGATTCGAACCCAGGCCCCAAAAGAACTGTGGATGCTGAAAATCAGAAACAAAAACTGAAATTGCCTGAAAAGCTCGGAAGGTCTGGCAGCATCTGTAAAAAAAATCAGAGTTAATGTTTCAGGTCCAGTGATCTTTCCTCAGAACTGGCATTCTGTGGAAGGGTCACTGGACCCAAAATGTTAACTCTGATTTTTTTCTTCATAGATGCTGCCAGACCTGCTGAGCTTCCAGCAACTTCTGTTTTTGATCCGGCTTTAAATGTGCTTTAGGGGAGAAAATCTGCTATTCTCACCTAGTCTAGCGTATTTGTGACTCCAGGTCAACAGGTTGACTCTCACCTTCCCTCTGAAATGGCCAAGAAACCTATTCAGATTAATGAACAATTGGGTATCGCCAACAAATACAGGTGTCACCTGATGATAGTATAAGGTAGGGGTGGAGGTTAGATAGACCTTAGGTTTAGGGTAAAAGTTCAGCACAACATCGTGGGCCGAAGGGCCTGTACTGTGCTGTACTGTTCAATGTTCTATGTTCACCAGCCACACCCACATCATATGTAAGAATTAAAACTAAAAACCCTCTTAAGGACCCTCATTTCCTTCCTAAAAAATACTCCAGCTGCGACCTAGCAGAACCTTATAAGGAGTCAGCATTAGTTTTTTCTGCTCTTTTTTACATAGTGCCTAAATGAAGGCCAAGATCCCATATACTTTGCTAATTACTTATCTAATGAGTCCTTCCATATTCAAAGATTTAGGCATATGGACCCCCAAGGTCCCTCTGCTCTGGCACACTCATTCAAACTGAGACATTAATTCTATATTGCTTGTCCCTAACCCTTCTGTCAGAATGCATCACTTCGCATTTATTAGCCACTTGCTTGCCAATTCTGCTAGTCTATCTATATCCTGTTCCAGTCAGCATACACTTTGTATCCCTGAATATTAAGCACTCATCCCTCCCCATGTTAAAGCCACATTTCTGTTCTTTTTAATTCATTTGTTGGAAGTGGATGTCACTGGCTGGGCCCAGCATTTATTGCCCATCCCTAGTTGCCCTTGAGAAGGTGATGATGAGCTGCCTTCCTGAACCACTGCAGTTCACTTGCTATGGGTTCATTCACAATGCCATTTGGTAGGGAATTCCAAGATTTTGACCCAGCGACAATGAAGGTACGGTGATATATTTCCAACTCAGGGTGGTGAGTGGATTGGAGGGGAACTTGAAGATGGTGGTGTTCCCATGTATCTGCTGCCCTTGTCCATCTAGATGGAAGTGGTTGTGGGTTTGGAAGGTGCTGTTTGAGGATCTTTGGTGAATTTCTGCAGTGCATCTTGTAGCTAGTACACACTGCTGTTACTGAGAATCGGTAGTGGAGGGAGTGGCTGCTTGTGGATGTAGTGCCAACCAAGTGGACTGCTTTGTCCTGGATAATGTCAAGATTCTTAAGTGTTGTTGGAGCTGCACCCATCCAGGCAAGTGGGGAGTATTTCGTCACACTCCCGACTTGTGCCTTGCAGAAGGTGGACAGGATTTGCGGAGTCAGGAGATGAGTTATTCGCCACAGTATTCCTAGCGTCTGACCTGCTCTTGTTGCCCCTGTGTTTATGTGGTGAGTCCATTTGAGTTTCTCGTCAATGGTAACCCTCAGGATGTTGACAGTGGGGCAATCAGAGATGTTAACACCCACTGAATGTCAAGGGGCAGTGGTTAGATTTTTTGTGTCTTATTGGTGATGCTCATAGCCTGGCATTTGTGTGGCGCAAATGTCACTTGGCACTTGTGAGCTCAAGCCTGGATACTGTCCTGATCTTGTTGTATGTGAACATGGACTACTTCAGTGTCTGAGGAATCACAAAGTGTGCTGAACATTGTGCAATCATCGGTGAACATCCCCACTTCTGATCTTCTGATGGAGGGAAGATCATTGACGAAGCAGCTGAAGATATTTGGGCCGAGGACACTACCCTGAGGAACTCCTGCAGAGATGCCCTGGAGCTGAGATGACTGACCTCCAACAACCATGACCATCTTCCTATGTGTCAGGTATAACTCCAACCACCACAGAGTTTGCCCCCGATACCCATATATTCCAGTTTTCCTAGGGCTCATTGATGCCACACTCAGTCAAATGCAGCCTTCATGTTGAGCTATCACTCTCACCTCACCTCTGGAATTCAGTTCTATTTGTCCATGTTTGAACCAATGCTGTAATGAGGTCAGCAGCTGAGTGGCCCTGGTGGAACCCAAACTGGGCGTCACTGAGCAGGTTATTGCTGAGCAGGTGCTGTTTGATAGCGCTGTTACTGACACCTTCCATCACTTTACTTATGATCGAGAGGAGACTGATGGGGCGGTAATTGGCCGGGTTGGATTTGTCCTGCTTTTTATATACAGGACATACTTGGGCAATTTTCCACATTGTTGGGTAGATGCCAGTGTTGTAACTGTACTGGAACAGCTTGGCTAGGGGAGCAGCAAATCCTGGAGCACCAGTCTTCTGTACTATTGCTGGAATGTTGTCAGGGCCCGTTGCCTTTGCAGTATCCAGTGTCTCTCACCATTTCTAGACATCACGTGAAGTGAATTGAATTGGCTGAAGACTGGTATCTGAAATGCTGGGGCCCACTGGCCCACTGGAGGAGGCCAAGATGGATCTTATCACTTGGCACTTCTGGCTGAAGATTGCTG